CTTTAAATATATAAAATATAAAAACTCTTTAAATATAAAAAACGTACTTGCAGTTTTTGAATCAGAACAGCCGGCATTGTAGTCTAGTGAGGAACGGCCGGAGGGCTAGAGTGAGCAGACGAAGGAGCGTCCGGCGGGCTTGCGGCAACCACATGTGACGACCCCGGGCTGGACTCCGCTTCGTCCACGGTGAAAGCCGATCCGGCGATCCACAGCGCAAAGTTGTAGTATTTCCTCAGCAACCAGCACGGATCAGCTCCAGGCATGACGAAGCAGATATCGTCCTCTTTTGGAAGGCCAAACAAAGTAGTTTCGCTTTCACAACGAATCACACAGTGCCTTCACGACATGGCGGCGGCAACAACAATACTACAGCGAGAATAAAAGTTACGCCTTCTTTCTTTGCGTGAACATTTGGGCGGCGTTATGCAAATCTTCCCACATAGTGACCTAGGTATGTGGGGGGGGTGTTAGAACAAGCCATTTTAGGTAGGCATGGCTGACTCTTAACTTTTATAAAGATTATCTCTTTGGATTTGGGACTTTAGTCTTTGCAACTTTACAGATCTTCTTTATGCACCAAGAGATTGTAACACTCCAAAGAGAAAGGAAAAATTGAAATCGCATCATATGACCCCTTTAACGTTCAGAGGAGAGCACGCGTATGCACCGTGATGCTCTCCAAACCGGTGCTAGGGTGACGCGGAGGAGAAGAATTGTTGAAAAAAGTCTGTCATATTTTTGTTCTCTATATGCACAAGAACTCTTGTAGTTTCATAAAATTACGGTAAAATTAAATATAAATATAAAATTAATTGAACCACTGATGTCACATGGGCTGTTTTACCGATGTCTTTACTACGTTTCTGTGCCTTGATCGTGGTAGTACCCTTGCTGTCTATGGAGGGTCAGAGAGCTCTCAGATTTCATCAAAAATATCTTAATTTGTGTTCCTGAAGATGAACGAAGGTCTTGCGGGTTTTGGAACGACATGAGGGTGAGTAATTAATGACAGAATTTGCATTTTTGGGCGAACTATCTCTTTAAGCCTTTAAAACGGTTCATTTTGTTTTATTAGTGCACACAGCTTGTCAGTGAGCAGTTTTCTTGTCTCTGCTTTAGGGAGAAGCAGGAGAGAAGAACACGGAAGTAGATGTTGCCCAGCAGAGGCCACCACCACGCAGGTTCAGACCTCGATTTCGAAGGTTCATATCCTCATTTGTATGTTTGGACCAGAAAATTTTTTTTTTTTTGCATGATGTCTAACATTTCATTACCTTAAACATGCATGTACCCTGTGCGGATTTAAAGTATTATGTTAACACGAAAGTCTCTTTTCTTAAATGTGCAGGCCATTGCGTCCTCATCCACACCCTGGAGAGGCTCAACAGACAGTAGTCCCCACAGAAGAGCAAGAATCGACCCCTAAAGAGAGCCAGACCAATAGGGAGCAGACTGAAGGGCAGCCCCGGAAATCCCGCAGACAGTTTAGTCGGCGCAGACAGAGGAAATCGGAATCTGGTGCCTCTAAAGTGAGTGATTTTATAGAAAAACGCAGTGAAGTAAAGCTGCTAAAATTGAAACCATTAGCTTTGTCTTTGCTGCCTGACTTTAAAAAGGGGTCATGAACTGCCTTTTTTGTTTGTACTGTTCTCTGAGGTCCACTTATGTTATCAAGAAAAAAACATAATTGGCTATTTTCGTAATGGGCTATTTTCTGTCCTGTTTTGACCCCCCTTATCGGAACTCTCCGTTTGAAGAGGCGTGGCAGATTGTAGACTCTGAAGTAAACACCCACTGGAATGATTGACTTGCAGTTGTGTATGTTTGACAGCCTACATCCTTCATAGATGGATGCTGATGTGATTTAGGTTAAAAACTTATAAATACTCTGTACATATCAAACGATCTGTAATAACAGACAAAGCAATAGTGATCACGTAATGAAAACAGTTACTCACACTTGTGTGGTGCGACATCGTATCTAATATAGTTGGCACAGCATCGTCTATTAGTTTCAATCTTTCTGAAAATCCTGTGTTGAATTGTGCCTTGTTTGTAAATTAATCTGCGGTAAAATGAAAAACAAATGGCCAAGTTTTACTGACGCGGTCTGGCACTTCATTTAAAAATAAAGTTAATCAAATAAAGTTTATATTTGGTTTCTGCGTAGAACTGCGTTTGCCACTTGACATTTACCTACTATGTGCTTGAATCGGTGGGCGGGGCTAAACATGCAGGGGATAAACATGCAGTGTAAACAAGCAGGAGTTGATCTTCTGCAGAGGCAGTGTTTAGCCACACTGTTACGTCATAAAGTGACACATTCCAAAACCTGTTGTTTTGGCAGATTGACTTCAATATAAGCTGTTTTTAGATGAAGTCAAGTCAACATTATTTATATAGCGCCAGGGGCACAGGCAACGGATGGGCTGGATGGGCACAGGCCCTCCCACTATGATGAAAGGCCCCCCCCAGTTTATTATACAATAATAATTACTGTTTAATCTATTTTAACACAATTAGAGAACTATTATAACATCTCAAATAACTAAAATAAATGTGTCATTTAGTTGGACTGTAATTTGTAGCTGTTTTAGAAAATGTTAGAAAAACAGCAGCAATCCATAATTCTTTAAAAAAAAAAAAGACTTTTAAAAACTCGCACTGACAGGGAGAAAGCCCGTCCATCAGCCCGCAAAGTAACGGTAAGACTTTCAGTTCCAGGCGCGAACTGGTTCATTCTGTGAACACTACTGTCAGGTCGATTATGAATGTCAGTCGGTGTTCAGAGTCGTTTGGTATGCGGTGTCTAAAGACTTTAAGACCAGCTGTTGCCAGTTGTCCTCACAAAGATTAGCCTATTTTTTTAATATATAAATTGTGACTGACGCCGGTGATTAACTGCACCCGTTTCCTAATTTGTTGACCTATTAATTTAAATAACGAATAAAAAAAAATAAAATAAATAAAAAACACATAACTAAGTGTATAAAATTATTTTATTCAGAAATGTCATATCTAATTTGGCATTTTCAATTAACATAGGCCTGTTACATTCTTCTTATTAGCCTATTATTATTATTATTATTATTATTATTAAGTTTTATTATTAAATTAATATTACAATTAATTTGCTCCGCAATTTCATAGCGCATCACCGCATAACTGACGCGCTGCAAGGATAATAAAGATTAGGCTAGCTTACTCCTCATTGAAAATGATTTTAAAAAGGTCTTTCAAAACAGATTTATTATACAATGAATTATAGGCCTATAATTAAAATTATTAACACTGCAATCATCAATGAAAAAGCTTTATTTCAAGCACCGAAATAAACAAAAAAAAAAAACCCTGTTTAACACGAAATATGTTTCTTCAAGTATTTTTTATTTTTTTTTGTCCACTAGCCTATGTTCGGGCCACAAGAGAAATATTAAGGGACTAAATTAAAACATTTAGCTATATAGGCCACCATTATCAGCATATGAAGTAAATTCGTCTCTCGTCATCTCTGAGAGAATATGTGCCGTTAATGCAGCGTCAGATGCGGAAAACCGCATCAGTTTTTACTTTCACTTTCTGGTGGATTGACTGAGATTAAGAGGTTCACCGCATAACTCTTGCGCAAAGTTTGCACGTTGCTTGTGTGATATCCATTGGCTCGCCTTCCTGGTTAAAAACAGTTATTTACAATATTGCGACTAGGCATGGGCTGATTACCGGTTTCAAGATTTGAAAATTTAACTTTTTCAAAACCGCTAATATTTTCCGTTATACCGTTTCTGCGGTCAGGGCTCGACGCTTACTTTTCTTTTTAGGAGCACTTGTGCTCCTAACTTAAAAAATTTAGGAGCAAGTTCAAAATTTTAGGAGCACCTTCTAATCAATAATCCAAAATGTTATACTTACGCGATCGGCAACCGGCCGTTTTTTGTCTTATTGCAACTCGTCTCTGTTCTGGACTTGCACAAACTGCGTTGCAATGCATATCATTTTCAAAATGTCATTTATGTGAAAATATGAAGTCTGTAAACGCCCGTTAACACAGGCCAGAGACGTTGAATACGGACGCACAGTGAAAAATACTGTAGCCGGCAGATCACTCATTGTTCATGATGCACGAACTATTGGAAGAAAATCCCCAATATTGATTTGGGGGGGTTTATATGACTGTTTCTGAGGGGAACTGACTGTCTTCAGAAAAGTTTACGTGGTATTTTCTTTTAATCTCGTCTCGATAGTTCATATTAAAGCAGTGTTTCATTCAGCGCAGTGCTGCTTTGTTTACAGCGGTAACCAAGGAAACGCCGTATCTGGTGTTCCAGAAGCGCCTCCCGCTGTCAGAGAGTGAATCTTCATTTCATTCAGAGCATCTGCTGTTTGCTTCGTTCAGGCATGTAGTATAATTTCACAAAGCTAGTCAGAACATTCTGTTTTTGCTTCAAATTGGGTTATTAAATCAAATTGTGTATGAAATGATATAAATGATATGTATATGAATTATATAACTAAAATTAAATAACGGTAATTACAGATTTAGGTTAAATTAAGATGTCAGTCTTTATTCTTCTTTTTAGGAAACAAATCTAAGAAAAAAGAAACAAATTCTACTGTTCCTAATATTCTGTATGTTGCTCAAAAACAAAATATATTGTGTTCAGCAGGAATTTTATTTATTTATTTTTTTCCCCCAGTCATTTAAAAATAACACACTTTAGAGCTGTAACGACAATACTGTGATACCGTGAAACAGTGATATTTTTGCTTAAGGTTATCATACCGTCAAAATCTCATACTGGCCCATGCCTAATTGCGACAGATAACCAACCCACCCACCATTGAGTTTGTGGTTGGGGGCCGCGGATTTGCGCTACGCCACTGGACTCCGTCGTTACTTAGCCTAGTGCCCACTCGCTTTTGCCCAGGCCCGCCCAAAAATAAAATTCTGGCTACGCCACTGTATAGCGCTCTTTACAGTGCAGATTGTGTCAAAGCAGCTTTAGAGTATTAAACAGGGAAATGGTGTGTTGAAATAGTGTGCCAAACGAAACCCTCTGGCCAAACGAAACCAGCAGTTTAATTCTAGGCTGCAACAAAGTCACTGGTTCTTCTGGTTCCTGTGGTCTTGTCCTGATGGCCGTCTAGGTGAAGAGGTCTTCGGAGGGGATCTGTCTCTGGGGCTCATCTAGTTGTCCTGGTCTCCGCTGACATTCAGGGCTGTTGAGGTCATCTTTAGGTGCTGATCCACCGTCTGGATATGGACTGGATCCGGTTGGATTGTGCCCCCCCCCCTCCCCCCACACACACTTTTAATATCACATAAATTTGTCCCCCAATTAAAAGCTAGAAATAAGAGAAAAAATAAAGTTGCCTATATAGGCCAAACACAGTCAAGAGTTTTAATGTTTTTGAAAGAAGTCTATTCTGCTCACCAAGCCTGCATTTATTTGATCCAAAATACAGCAAAAGCCGTAATATTGTGAAAAAATTTTTACTATTTAAAATAACTGCTTTCTATTTGAATATATTTTAAAATGTAATTTATTCTTGTGATCAAAGCTGAATTTTCAGCATCATTACTCCAGTCTTCAGTGTCACATGATCCTTCAGAAATCATTCTAATATGCTGATTTGCTGCTCAAAAAACATCTATTATTATTATGCTGAAAACGGCGTGTAGACATTTTTCAGTTAGAGGAAGGTTTCCGGTTGAGTGAACGCTGGTGTGTTTTCACTGCCGCTGCTCTCCCGCTGCCCTTCTGTTTTCGTGCCTAATTTTGGACTTTCAAGCGTGCAATTAAAATTTTTGGACTCTAACTCCCTTTGAGTTCATCCTGCAGAATTTTTAACTTTGATTTGATTAAATATGGCGGTTTATGAACTGTCTTTGAATCCTTTCAGTCAAGTTGTTACCTGCCAAACGTGAGCTTTCGCCACCGAAGCAACAGGCTGTTTCATCTGTCTTCCGTGAGTAAGCACCCACTTTCTTTCGGATTATTGGTTGCCAGATGCTGGTCTGGTTGAAATGGTCTTAGAAAGGGCTGTATCTTCCATGTATTTGCACTGCGTTGTAGCTTAGTTGCTTGGTGTGCTGGCTAACGTGGTTTTAAATCCAGCTGAGAATACGCGACTCTAGGATGATGCTGAAAATTCAGCTTTGATCACAGAAATAAATTACATTTTAAAATATATTCAAATACAAAGCAATTATTTTAAATAGCAAAAATATTTTACAGCTTTTGTTGTATTTTAGATCAAATAAATGCAGGCTTGGTGAGCAGAAGAGACTTCTTTACCAGTTTTTGAACAGTAAGATTTTTTTATGCTTTTTAGTGTATACTGGTATGTGTGTGTGTGTGTGTGTGTGTGTTTCGCCACCGAAGCAACAGGCTGTTTCATCTGTCTTCCGTGAGTAAGCACCCACTTTCTTTCGGATTATTGGTTGCCAGATGCTGGTCTGGTTGAAATGGTCTTAGAAAGGGCTGTATCTTCCATGTATTTGCACTGCGTTGTAGCTTAGTTGCTTGGTGTGCTGGCTAACGTGGTTTTAAATCCAGCTGAGAATACGCGACTCTAGGACGATCCTCCTCTTTATACTGCCCGTAACTTTTTTTTTTTTTTTCTTTTTTCTTTTTATCTATTTTTGCGCGCTGTCTCAAGAAACCTTGCTGCCTACTGGCTCGTGGGGTTTTTATGACATGACTTTTTATTTGTCGTTGGATCTGCATCACCTAAACCCTAGTAAAGGTCGGCCGCCGCTGCCCATCAGTCTATATAATCACTGCGTTGCTGTTGGTATCGCTCGCCAGCCTCGCTACATGTATCGGGGTTCTCGCGAACACTGCACTGGGCTCACTACCTCAGTTACCTCAGCTGATGGATGTACTATCCCCGTTGTCTGGTCCTCTTCTCGCCGACTGTACGCAAAAACATGCAGAGAGGGTGGAAATATAAACTTTGTAAATCACCGTTCTCTGGAATATGTACCACTCAGGGCTCTACCGCCAGCAACTACTTCCTCTGCAATCGTTCAGCCTTCAGTGAAAATGGCTCTAGTAAATGCTAGGTCATTGTCAAATAAAACATTGAACAACTTTTTCTCATCTCACGCCTTGGATTTTCTGTTTGTGACTGAAACCTGATGACTGTTCGTCTCTGGATGAACTATCTCCTTCTGACTGTTCTTTTTATTGCTCTCCCAGGCCAAATGGACCTGGTGGTGGTCTAGCTACAATTTTCAAGAAGTCATTCAAATGTCGACTACTGTCTGTAGAAGCCTTTTCTAGTTTTGAGGCACAACTCTTGCATATCGATCTCAATGGTCCTCTTATCTGCATCCTGGTTTACAGACTACCCAAAGTTAGTACAACGTTTATTCATGAGTTTTCAGACTTTCAGTCAAATCAAGTGTCACAGACTGTGATAGACTGTTGGTTCTGGGGGATTTTAACATCCATGTCTGCTGCCCCTCTAAACCTATGGTTAAAAATTAAGAGTCTCATTGACTCGCTCAATTTTGTACAGTGTGTCTCTTCTCCTACTCATAACCTAGGCCACACACTAGATCTTATTTTGATTCGTGGTCTCTCTGTACACTCATGTGAAGTACTCGATGCTGGTATTTCTGATCACTGTTCTGTATTATTTGAACCTGCAGTCCCATATGTACAGCCCATCCTCTCTCAGCCTTGTATGCAGCTAAACAGTTCTTTGACTAGTGGGGTTTGCCCAGAGTCTTTTAAACACCCATCTGTACAGCCCCTGTTAAAAAGATCTCACCTTGATCCATCTGTTCTTAGTAACTACCGGCCGATTTCTAAACTCCCATTTATTTCTAAGGTTTTAGAGAAAGCAGTGCTATCACGGTTTACTTCTTACCTGGATGCTTTTAACGTTCTGGATAAGTTCCAATCTGGTTTTAGAGCTCTTCACAGTACAGAGCCAGCCTTGCTTAAATTTATGAATGATCTTTTGCTGTCCATTGATTCGGGGTCCTCTGCCATTCTGATAGTGTTAGATTTGAGTGCAGCCTTCGACACAATTGACCATGACATCCTCTTGAATCGACTCAAATGTGTAGTAGGGGTTCAAGGCACGGCATTACAGTGGTTCACCTCTTATTTAAAGGGTAGGACTTTTTCAGTAAATATCGGGTCGTTCACCTCGCCCTTTATTATTCTCGCTCTACATGCTTCCCCTAGGCTCCATTCTCCAGAAATCTAATATTAACTATCATTGCTATGCCGATGACCTCCAACTTTACCTTCCAATCAAACTTGAAAATGACTCTTCTTTACAACTTTTCTCATGTTTTTACGAAGTGAGAACTTGGATGGCTAATAATTTTTTGCAACTAAACACTGACAAAACTGAGGTGCTTCTGCTAAGCCCGCTGCACTCAATACTACTCTTACAAGTAGGTTAGGTTCCCTTAGTGATAACTTACAACACCATGTAAAAAATCTAGGGGTCTATTTCGATCCATTACTACAATTTGACAAGGATGTAAACACGGTTGTAAAGAGCAGCTTCTTCTACCTCAGATCTGTTGCGTAAGTAAAACATTTTCTCTTTCGAAAAGATCTCGAAATTGTCATCCATGCACTAATCTCTTCCAGGCTGGACTATTGAAACACTCTGTATGTCGGCCTTCCTCAAAGCACTCTATCTCTGCTTCAGATGGTTCAAAATGCGGCAGCCAGATTGTTGACAGGAACAAAAAAGACGGAGCATATTACTCCTGTTCTTGCTTCATTGCACTGGCTCCCTATCAAATTCAGAGTTGATTTTAAGATCCTTAAGGCATTGCAAAAGTCAGCCCCAGATTATATCTGTGATCTTATCCAGCCATATACAACCTCTAGGTCATTAAGATCTTGTAACCAGCTTCTTTTATCTGTCCCTCATTCTCGCTGTAAATCCAAAGGTGACCGAGCTTTCGCTGTTGCTGCCCCTAAACTCTGGAACAGTTTACCCCTTACTATCAGGGCCTCTCCATTGCTCGGTGTTTTTAAATCAAATTTAAAGACTAATTTTTTTTGGTGTGTGTGTGTGTGTGTGTGTGT